GGGGTGGTTCGGAACTCGGGGCTTTCCAGACGCCTGTCGCTGGCTTTCCCGCTTCGGGTTTTCTAATTCATGAATGCGGCCTCTCTGCTTGTCTCTTTGTTCCGTGGTTACTGCCCAGCCCGGGACGCCCAGGACACGCTCTCTCATTTGAAGCTGGGTGTTTAGCATGCACGGCAGACGCTGCAGCCAGCATCAGCATTCTCCAGGCTTCTCCCAGGCAAGGCCATAAATTGGTTAGTTTGGGACCCTCAGCTTCTTCACCCTGTTTTTTTTTTCCTTTTTAAAATGGAGTTGGACACGGCATCCTGCGTGCTCACCCCCTCCTCCTCTTTTATTTTCTTGTACACAACATCTCGATCTGGCCCAATCGATAGCTGGTTAGCACAAATCTCACCCCTGTCACTTCTGCCTGGCCTGGCTGCCCCTCCCCCTCTCTCTTCTTCCCCCCACTCTCCTAGTAATTAAGAACATATTGACCAAGATGGGATGAGAAAAGTTTTTTTTTTTTTTTTTAAGTCAAATCCCAAACCTGATTTAGAGAACTAATCATAATAATGATAATAATAATAAGAACCCGGTAGCTCTTTGCCTTTTACAGGGCCTTAGTAGGCTAGGTGGAGAGGCATAGGGTGGTTTTAATGAGATTTTTTTTAAGGTTCACTCCTTTTAGGGGAAGATGCAGGCTGTGAGTGGAGAAATGTCATTAAAGCAGTGTTTTGTTTGTTTCATCATCACAGTCAGATGAGCGAAAATTTTTTTTGGAAACAGATGCCAGTCATTTTAGGGTCGATTTTCCCTGTAAGTGACACAAAGCCCTCCCCTGCACACGGGAACTTCCTTCAGGGACCAGCGGGGCTGGCCGTCTTATAAGCATCAGCAGGGACACACACTTGACCTCCTTTGTTTTCCACTCCGTGATGTGGGAAGGACAGTTTCCTAGATAAAGCACGGAATTGAGGTCACTCGAAGCTTCTGCAGCTTTGGAGTTGCCAGTTAAGGCTTTATAAGGTAGCTGTGTCTGATTCTTGCTCCCTTACTGGTAGTAAATAAGGATGATTAAACTTTTCATTATGATAACACCCAGCAGTTCCATCTGCACACGTTGTATAAATAGGTACACAGAGCTTTCTATGGGCTCTGGAGTCCCCTGGCTGAAAATCAGAGCGAAGTGTGCCACTTTGAAATAGAGTCAGGGAAAAAAAAATGTAAAGCAAAACATTCTGCGTTTCCTTAAAAAAACGTGCCCATGGCCCCATTATCCTCGAGCAGTGGTGTCCAGTGGATTTGAATAGACCTTCTCCAGGTTCCAGCCCCAGCAAGCACTTTTTTCCATCCTCCTCTCAGGCAAAGCCCATTTTTGTAATGATATTTTATTTTGTCACGCCGTAAAACACGCCAGTACTAATGTGATTAAATATTAACACCGTTTCTGAAATTCTTCGCTCCAATGACAAAATACTAGCCGGTATTTAACAAAATGATCCGTGCTCGGATTGGAGGGAACGAATAAGTCTTCAGAACTGCACAAGGCGTGCAGCCACTGGGACGTGCCCAGATTGTCTTATGGGCTTGAGATGCCCTTTGGAGGGGAGGGAACTTGACTGGCAAGTTGTAGTTCTCCCAGAGTCTAGGCCTGAATCACATGTGATGGCTTTTTTTTTTTTTTAAACCAGAAAAGTTAGGCTCTCCAAATTATGTTTCCCTTGACTTCCTAATCAACCCACCAAACAACTTTTATATCATGCAACTCTGCCTCTGATCATGAAGCTCCGTTTGCACAAAGTTGTGCTGGGGGGAGGGGGAGGTTGTGGAAGGGGAAAAAAAAAACCCAAAACAGCCTGAACTTGGGTCTTTTCAGATGTCTGTTTAATCAGCGAGGGCTGCATGAATTTAAACATAGTTTGCAAAATTGTCCACCTATCTTTAGAATAGGCGTGTGGCTATGGGAGGGTTTCCAAGCAGAGAGGAGGAAGAGTGATCGATGTTAAGTTGGAAACAGTATTTTACCCTGCTCTTGGCCCTTACGGCTTTCCAGGCTTGAATTCACTGCGTTCTGTCATATGTTTGTCCTTGCCAAACTTCCTTTCCCTGATGGCTCTCTATCTTGAGACCCAGGGCAGTCTAGAAATGCTCTTTCGCACACTTCGAAGTGGGAGCGGGCTCAGAGTACGCTCTGCATGCGAGCCTGCCCTTTTTGGAAGTGCGATATTTTTACAGTGATGCAGGAGAAATTTTTGGAATTTCATGCTTCTCTTGGTGCTGCAGTTGGAACACGGTCCATGGCCCTGAGAAATTCTAGGCGGGCAGGATTTGAACATGGAATGTCTTTAGACGTGGGGCAGACTTGAGTTGGGAGTGTGGGGGGCGGTGGTGGCTGGGACAGGTAGGTCCCAGCCTCAGAGCCAAACACTGTTTTTCACAGTCATTTTGTCTCCTCCCCACACCCTGGAGAGAATTTTTAAGGCACACTCCAACTTGTTTGGGGAAGGCAAGGAGCCTTGCAACCTTGTTTCCCCCATGAAGTCAGCCAGCACGGGTTGCATGCCTTCATGTGACTTTGTGGCTCCGGAAGATGTAACCCAAAACTTCGCAGGTGTTAATCAGGGGTAATGTAAACAGATAGGGGCCCCTTTGTGCAGCTGGCATTCGGGCTGGGCTGCTCCCTGGCTAGTCCAGGACATATAACTACTGTTCTTTGGTGCTTGTTTAATATTTCATGGCTGTAATAAACCTGTCTTCTCTGCCTGCCTCCCGACATAAAACCCCAACCCAGCACACATCTGCAATTATACATTTCTACTAAATATTAATAAAGGACAAGGATGCTTGAAGGGGCCGAGGCTTCTCGGTGTTGAACTTGTCATGGTTTCTGCCACTGGATTTTTCTTGGCTGTTTTGGTTTTCAATAGCCATTGCCTTCTAATATGCAAAATATACTTCTAGGTTCTTATATATAAACATATGCAATTTTTATAGTCGGAAGGGCTTTCCTCGCGTATAGCTTTCTTTAATATAAACTCACTTAGATTTCTTGCAAGGCCCCTTCAGACCGGAAATAAGAGACTGTTGAAATGTACTTTTATTTTATTGAGGTTTCTAGGAAAGGAGTGAGCGTTGGTTAATCTCGTTTCTCTTTCTAGCAATGAAATTCTATGATTCCTGATATGATTTTGTTTGCCTGACAGAGGTCTTTAAATTTCCACAAAGAATCTTAATAGGTTTTGAAAATGTGGCTGCTCTCGCCAAAAAGTTACTTGATACCCTCTGCTGATGTGAAATATACATCTTTAATAAACAATCCTGGCGGACCAGGTAAAATTAGAGGAGGAGAATTCCTCCCTCTGTGGAAGGGCCAACTTGAGTGTATTGTTGGGATTTCACAGGATCTCCCAAACTCATTCCATGCTGGGAAATGTGGCAGAATCACTTGTGACCGTTCTCTCCACTTGAGTGACAATGACGTCAGATCATGTTCTTGGCTCAGGGAGTGATCAGCTTTGGCGAAAGCATTTAGGAGATAAAGACTCTTGGTAAGGAATACTGTATTTACCTCTGTTTGGTTATTTTTAGAGATTAAAAGGCTGTAGCTTTATATAATAGGATCAGATGTCTGGGGAGTGTGTGAGGCCTCCCAAGCGCATCTCGAC